AACCAAAAAAAAAAATATTTTTGAAGTCTTCTGAAGGTCTGCTGTAACGTTTTTGTATTGTCTCCAATATTGTACATTTCAGCCGGATAGCCAAATAGTTAAGGATTCGATCTCGGGTCCCCGAGAGCGATAGGCTCTGCTTGATCCGGAATAGAATCCCAACGGAACAAAAAACCCCAGGAATTTTTCAGGGGGTAGTCCGTCCGGATATACTTGAGCCCCCTCCCTCGTCCATTGAGGGCCTGGCCGAACCCATAATGGGCTTTCTAAAACAAGGTCCGCTTACTGCCTGCAGGGTGGAAAGAGTTTAAAAAATATGTATATATACAGTATATATATTAACTCTTTCCATTCTGATGTAGCTACAGATAGACTATAGGCTATATTGTACAGTACATTTTAAAATATATTTCGTCCTGATTTTTAATCCTTATTTTACAAATTAAATTTTATTTTTGAGTCACGTTTTATTATAATTGGCATAAATTTCTATCCACATCCCACAAAAATCTCTCGTTTCCTATTACGAAAGACTCATTAAAAACTTCACATTTTACGTTATAAATATGCCAAACCCAATGAGTCAAAGATCAGAAGAAGACCCAAATGGATTTATAAAATAGTAAATATACGTAAAAAACGTAAATAATTAATAAAGAAATACAATAAAAATTAACTATTTACGTAAATGTAAGCACATAATTGAAATACTTAAGAATTCGTACAACATATTTAGAAAATTAATAAACTTTCAAATTACTATGAATGTACTGTACAATAAGAATAGAATATGAATGATCAACCTTTCGGGTATATCAAGTTAAATTATATTTAAAAAAAAAGAAAAAAAGACCGTTTAAGAACCGTTTAAAAACTACACATGCAAATTCAAAATGTAAAAATATATTTTTTAAAAGGCATATTTCATATAAAAAAAATACAATGTTTTCATCAGATTATACACTAGCAGAACGAGTTTTCATCATTATTTTGAAAATATCTATTCAGAAACAAACAAAAAAATTATTAAATTGAAGAGAAAATTTCATGTAAGTTTATATAAAATTTATTAGTTTCATCATTTTTTATTATTTTCAAATTATTTATTTAATTTTTTTCTCAATGTTTTTACGAATTTTTGCTTAATTTTAAATTCATACGTCATTTTTTTTATAAATTTAAAACTTTATTTTTTGGTTTCTTTTTTTTTCTTCATGTATTATTGATGTAATTGAGCTTTGTTCTGTTTACTTTCAGTAATGTTTTTAATTATTTCGAGTGATAACATTAGAAGTAGTCGGTGGAATAATGTCAATTATAAATAGTAATTGAAAGTAATGGGACAATAAAAGTTATTTACGGGAGAGATATTTTTAGCGTAATAAAATTAAAAACGTTATAAATAGAAGGAAGGAAATAAATATTTCAACAATTGACTTTTTTTTACCATTTTCTACGTTAAGTTATTCATAGTAAATTTAATTAAATTTACTGTGAATTATTTTAATAAATTTCAAAAGAATTTCTTTTAACACCGGAACAACCATGGAACGATCTTAAAAGATGAAAAGGAAAAGAAATTATTAAGAATACAAGAGCTTTCCACCAAATAAAAAAAATTATCGAAATTAAAACGAAAATGATTATCATAATGATGACTTGAGCAGCCGAGTGGATAAAACCACCTGAATACTGATATGAATTCGTGACTAACCAACGGACTGGCCACGTAAAGGTTTTCTTTACGTGTCTACTTAACTAGGGGCC